AGCACGGCCGTGTCCTCCCAAAAGCACGGCCGTGTTTCTCCTAGTGTAATTAACCCTAGCCAAAGCACGGGCGGGCTGAGGCATTACACGGCCGTGCCCTCGACCGTGCTTTGGCCACTGATGCCCTTTTAAGCAGATTTTCAGCCAAAGAGAAGGGGATTCGAGTTTTTGAGAGAGAGAACGATTCCTAGAGAGAGAAAGTGACGAACAAGAGTCTCCAAGTGCCCTAGATTGATCTTCAACACCAGTGGAGGCCAGCTTGAGCTTGGAGAAGTGCCGATCAACGTCCAGGAGCAGGAATCCATCCTTCACAGTATGAATTCCGCGTCTGATTCTGCTTTTGCTTCTTTCTCCATGGAGTAGTTCTCCCATTCATCTGGGTATGGAGAACCCTAGATTTGTATGTTAGGCTTTGATTGTATGAACCCAAGTACTAATTCTATGATTTGATTATATTCGATTGAGGTTTGATTGATTGAATGGCATGAATCCTGATCAAATTCCTGTTGTTTCTGCTTTAACATAGAATGAGAATATCTGCCTAGGTTGATAGAGCATCCTTGATTGAAGGTAGGGAGTTGGTGACTTTAGTCGAGGAGCCAACTCACTATTCTGTACCGGATTTACTCCGGTAGTGGAGGTTTTGTTTGTTAAGGCCTCAATCTGTTTACTCCGGTGGAGGTTAGTCGCCCGCTAGAGACTCAGATTGAGAGGGTCTGAAGACCTTTAGTCGAGACTTCAGGCTGTTTAAGAACCTTCCGCAGTATAACTATCATAGAAACTGAACTTGGTAATTACAATCCGGCTTAACTGCAGTCTAGGGGGAACCATATCCGGGTGACCTCTCTTAACCTGAATACAACAGTTTACTTGCTTTGTTAGTTTGTTAGCTTAGACTTGCATTAAAGTTTCATTGCTAGATAACAAGAATTCACTGAGTAGTCATCAAATCTAGGACCCGGGTTGATAATTAAACCCAAACCCGCTATACTACGCTTTAGGAAGTGGTTACACTTGGCCAATTCCTAGGGTGACAGTAGAAGTGAGTCAAGTTTTTGGCGCCGTTGCCGGGGACGGCTAGGTTATTGAAGAAAAGTGATTTCTGTTAATTTAGCTTTTCTTTTCACTTTGTTTGCTTTTTCCCACTTGTGCCTTCACGGGTTTGCTTGCTTGAGTGTGTGCAGCTAGTGCATGACCCGTAGCAGTCAGGAGGTTTACTGCCGTTGAATCCAGAGATTGACCGCACCTGTCGCCAGCTCAAGAGACAAGAGCGAGCTAGACTGGCTACGGAAGAGCGCATAGACGGCCACCTGAGTAGCGATTCTGAAGAAGAGTACGGGATGGACGGAGACTACAATCAGCACCAGGGGAATCCTCAGCAGGTTCCCCCTGTGAATCAGGTCCTGGGGAACAACCCCATACCCCAGGATCATGGAGTTCATCATCCACCGCAGCCGGGTCCCACCTTGGAGTACTACTACACTCCGCGGATTGCTGACATCCGCCCGGTCATCCTCTACCCGCCTATTCCAGCAAACAACTTCGAGATCAAGCCATGCTGGATTCAGCTTATTACATCCTCTATCCAGTTCCATGGCTTGAAGGATGAGGAGGCCAGGGTACATCTTTCCCGGTTTTTGCAGCTGACGAACGGGTTCAAGATGAATGGTGTCCCGGATGATGCGATCCGCCTTCATCTCTTCCCCCATTCTCTCGCGGGGAATGCTAAGAGGTGGTTGGAGACCCAGCCCCCATTGTCCATCACCTCTTGGGACGATCTGGCTGACAAATTCGTGCACAGGTACTATCCGGCATCGAAGACTACCGAGATACAGCGGGAGATCACTCACTTCCGCCAGGAGCCAGATGAGTCACTTCGTGATACATGGGAGCGGTACATGGGATACTTCTGGCAGTGTCCCCATCATGGCTTTAGTGATGCATTCACAGTGGGGAACTTCTACAGTGCTCTTTCCCCAGATAGCCAGAGGGTGATTGAGTCTTTATGCCCAGGAGGGGATGTTCTCACTAAGACTCCACCCGAGCTGAACCAGATGATTAATACTTTGGCTGCCAGAGATCATTCCTGGGGACAGAGCAGCAGAGGCAGACAGTCCCGGGACCGTGGTGTGCACGCCATGGAGACCCGATCCGGGCTTGAGCAGCAGGTAGCTGAGCTAGTGCAGACATTGAAGCAGCCCAACAGTCTTATTCTGGGCAGAGGTATGGCTACACCTCCAGTTGCTCAATGTCAGTGGTGTGAGAGCTCGAATCACTTAGTGGAAGACTGCCAGGCTATGAGGGAGTCTACCACCCCCCAAAAGCAGTTGGACTTCATCGCCAATGCTCGGCGCCTCGACCCGTACAGCAACACATATAATGAGGGGTGGCGCCAGCATCCCAACTTCTCTTGGGGCAGCAACACCACTAAGCCACCTGGTTTCCCAGCACCAGCTGGTGGCTTTCAGCAGAGGCAGCCCTTCCAGGCTCGACAGGGGCCAGCCCCACAGCAGCAGCCCTACCAGCCTAGGCAGGGGCAACCATTCCAACAGCCCCAGCGTCAGTTTGTCGAGCCAGCAGCAGCCCCTGCCCCAGATGATCGGATGACGAAGCTGGAAAACATTCTAGCTTCATTCATAACTAGCACTCATGTTGCTATCACGTCACTGGAGGCAGGTCAGCGGAACCAGGGTGCCATTTTGCAAGATCTGCAGACCCAGGTGGGCATCTTGGCCCGCCAAAACACTACCAGGGCACCGGGGACTCTGCCTGCCACCACTATCCCGAATCCTCGGGATCCTCACCAGCTCCAGCAGCTGGATGCCATTTTTACCAGGAGCGGTAAGACCATATCTGCTGATCCTGTCCCGACCAGACAGGAGGAACCACTACCTGCTTCAGCACTTCCAGCCGACGATGCAGAAGTGCGGGTGGAGAAGGAAGCCCTTGCTCCCAAGCCACAACCAGTGATTAAGGAGCATGTACCCCAGCTTCCCTTCCCCACTCGCCTACACAAGGACAAGTTGGAGACTGAGTTTGCCAATTTTATGGCAATGTTGAAGCAGCTCAACATCAGCATACCGTTTGTGGAGGCACTGTCGAAGATGCCCAAGTACGCGAAGTTCATGAAAGATCTCCTCACCGACAAGAAGAAACTTGGGGATCTTTCGACAGTGATGCTCAGTGAGGAGTGTTCTGCTATCCTGCAGAACAAGCTGCCCGAAAAGCGCAAGGATCCAGGAAGTTTTACTATCCCTCTTACTATTGGCAGCATGCATGTAGGCAAGTCCTTGGCGGACCTAGGCGCTAGCATAAATGTCATGCCATATAAGTTGTACAAAAAGCTAGACCTAGGTGAACTTAGCCCTACTAGGATGAGCATTCAGCTAGCTGATCGTTCCATTGTGCATCCTAGGGGGATCATAGAGGATTTGCATGTTAATGTAGGTGCATTCACATATCCTATTGATTTTGTTATTCTTGATATACATGAGGATGTGGATGTACCTTTGATTCTGGGTAGACCATTTCTTGCCACCGCCAATGCACTTATTGATGTGCATGATGGTAAACTGATCCTGCGTGCTGGGAATGAACAGGCTACTTTTTCTGTGACTGAGTTTGATCACTGTGCTATGATTGCTGTCACGCCTGTGCATGTCATTTCTGATCAGGTACACGAGCCTGTCGTGTACCCTTCTGCACCTCTTATTTTGCAGGACCCTCCTATCATTCCTTCGCCGCCACTCCATCCAGCCTCACCTCCGAACAAAAAGATCAAGGAGGAGTGGCGGCCGAAGCAACAAGTTGCTAAGCCTGCACGGAAGAAGAGTGGAGACCACTATGAGCTGGTTCCACCTCCTGCACCACGACCACCCTGGCCGTCCGGGTACTCACTCGCCTGCATCTTATCGGATGGCCAGGTCGAGCTGACAGATGATGGTGGTCGCATCCGTCGGGTGCATGGCCACAACCTAAAGCTGTACCTCAAGAGCGACGTGGATCCGCTCTTGGAGGCACCTGTTCCTGCACCTCCCTGAGTATCCACCATGGGCGTCCAGCTAAACGACGGTAAAGAAGCGCTTGTGGGGAGGCAACCCCACCACGGTTTAACTTTCTTTCTTGTGTTTTGAGTCGGATTGTAAACCGGTTTGGTTTTGGTTTGTTTTCTTTTGTTTTGGATGATGTATTATTGGGCTGACCATTGGACCTAACATACTGTGTTTGAGCTCTTTGGTTTCCTTTAGCTGTGTTTGGCTTGACTGGTTCTCTCTCCAGTCCGCTTCACTCCGACTGGTCCGCTTCCAGTCCCCTGCAGTCCGTGCATACCGGTAACATCGTTCCCCTTTTCCTTCCCTCTTCTCCATTGAGGGCAATGTCGATCTTAAGTGTGGGGGGGGTGTTTATCTTTTGACTGCATTAGATCTGTTTGTGTGCTTGGAGCCTAGTCCACTGTCCAAATTTTTAAATTTGAGGGCTCCAAATACGTGTTCCTTGCAATTGCCTGCTCAGTATGCTTTGAATTGACAGTCTCTATAGTAATATGCAACCTAGGGAGGTGGTGTAGCACTATGGAGGATGTTGATACATTTAAGAAGTCTCATTTCTTCTTCATATTGTGTTGGTTGATTGAGTGAATTAGTGATCTTAGGACCCTTGAATTGTGTGGTGTTGTGGACTCTCCACCTGTCATGGACTCTTGTATCATGTTTTGAGTTTAACAGGTGCTCGAAAATGTGCTTCAAAATAACGTCTCCCGTGAGAATAGGGCGAAAGTGTGTAAGGGGAGACGGGAATTCGTTCCCAATTTCCACCTACTACCTCCAGCCCCCTTACATGTCTTTCCCCCGCACGAGGCTCGAGACATCCGCTCCTGGCATGGCCGGTAAGAGCCGGTTGGGACCCTTGAAAAAAAAAAGAAAAAAAAAGAAAACAAGCAAAACAGAACGAAAAGGGGTTCCAACCATCTTTAAGCAGAAAATAGAGCACCTTGAAAAATCTGAGTCCATGATCTTTTGTTTTTGAGAATCTCTTCATCCACAATTCATTTGTCCTCTGTTCACTATTTGCCATGATGCCGACTCGATACTAGTGCTCTCGCCGAAGAAGCTATGAGATGACTTGTGCGTCGGTTGACCTCGTAAGCTGCTAAATGACCTAGGAAGTCCTCTACCTACGATCTGGGTTGTTTGTTGCTATAGAGGTCTGGAGAGTTGCATTGGTTTGAGTTAGGTTTGCTTGGGGACAAGCAAACGGTTAAGTGTGGGGGAATTTGATAACGATGTAATTGCACGTATTTGCGCCCCTAGTTCTTATCTGTTTGAGGGGCATAGTCGTGTGTTTTTGGCCTATTTTATGCCGGGTTGTGCTATTTTGTCATGTTTCAGGTCCCAGGTGTAAAAGGGAAGGCTAAGCACGAGTTTCGGGGCATTCGGAAGTCATTTCGGTGAAGCTGAGCCAAAACACGGGCACACCTAAACCATTACACGGCCGTGTTCTGAGACCATGCTTTTACTGCCGAGAGCTAATTCGAGTTTGGCAAACATTGGCCAAAACACGGGCAGGGCTGAGATAGAACACGGGCGTGCTTCACCAAAGCACGGCCGTGTCCTCCCAAAAGCACGGCCGTGTTTCTCCTAGTGTAATTAACCCTAGCCAAAGCACGGGCGGGCTGAGGCATTACACGGCCGTGCCCTCGACCGTGCTTTGGCCACTGATGCCCTTTTAAGCAGATTTTCAGCCAAAGAGAAGGGGATTCGAGTTTTTGAGAGAGAGAACGATTCCTAGAGAGAGAAAGCGACGAACAAGAGTCTCCAAGTGCCCTAGATTGATCTTCAACACCAGTGGAGGCCAGCTTGAGTTTGGAGAAGTGCCGATCAACGTCCAGGAGCAGGAATCCATCCTTCACAGTATGAATTCCGCGTCTGATTCTACTTTTGCTTCTTTCTCCATGGAGTAGTTCTCCCATTCATCTGGGTATGGAGAACCCTAGATTTGTATGTTAGACTTTGATTGTATGAACCCAAGTACTGATTCTATGATTTGATTATATTCGATTGAGGTTTGATTGATTGAATGGCATGAATCCTGATCAAATTCCTGTTGTTTCTGCTTTAACCTAGAATGAGAATATCTGCCTAGGTTGATAGAGCATCCTTGATTGAAGGTAGGGAGTTGGTGACTTTAGTCGAGGAGCCAACTCACTATTCTGTACCGGATTTACTCCGGTAGTGGAGGTTTTGTTTGTTAAGGCCTCAATCTGTTTACTCCGGTGGAGGTTTGTCGCCCGCTAGAGACTCAGATTGAGAGGGTCTGAAGACCTTTAGTCGAGACTTCAGGCTGTTTAAGAACCTTCCGCAGTATAACTATCATAGAAACTGAACTTGGTAATTACAATCCGGCTTAACTGCAGTCTAGGGGGAACCATATCCGGGTGACCTCTCTTAACCTGAATACAACAGTTTACTTGCTTTGTTAGTTTGTTAGCTTAGACTTGCATTAAAGTTTCATTGCTAGATAACAAGAATTCACCACCCATAGCAAGAGGATACCAAGCGACAGCTTGGTACCAAGACACCCAGTCAAGAGGATACCAGGCTGGCAAGGCAGACTTGGTACCAAGTATGAAATCTTGGGATGGGGACAGGTCTAGCCAAGGATGGAAATTTTATGAAGATTTGCTATAAACCCCTTAGGGGGCCATATGGAGACGAAGTCCCAAGACGGGCTTGGTAGCATCCTAACGGGGTACCAAACCGGCGTGGTGCAACTTACCAACTTGACGAGGCTACAAAAACTAAATATGGAGACCAAGTCGCCAAGGCTGGCTTGGTATCAGGGGTGTCAAGTTGATTACATGGGCTTGGTGGCATGCTTGAAGGTATCAAGCCGATGAGACGGTTGGGTAACAACCAACAAGTCAATGAGGAGGATTTGGTATCAGAGGTGGTAGCGGTCTCAAGATGGCAAGAGTGAGGAGTCATCAAGCAGTCGAGGTTGTGATCAAGACTTCATCATTGAAGCTAAGGCAAAGAGCCTCAACCCCATCCAGTCATGACAGGGCGACAAGGCTCAACACCAACCCGGCCCAACATCGAGACCATCAAGTACCAACCAGCCCCAAGACGGGACAAGGGCCCCCAAGGTGACGGTTACCAACTAGTCACCAAGGCAGCGACAAGCGGCCCCTAAGGCGGTTGGAGCAACAGGCTAGCTAGCGGTTACCAGGGCAGTTACGCTCAGATGGCTATAAATAGGAGAAACGAAGATGGAAAAAGGGTTCCACAACCAAACATTTGATGCACAATGTCAAAATTTATCTTTTCTCTGCAACTTAGTACCTTTTAGTTTTTCGGAGCTCTCACTGAACCTCCATAGGAGTAGAGTAACGTAACTTAGCTTGTTCCCACTGAACCATCAAAAACATCAAACATCCTCGTTCGAACATTATTCGGAAATGAGTGAACTGTGTTATTGTCGTTATTCAAAAAGTCAAAGGTACATTCATTAAGTTCAAACACAAGATTTTCCTCGCTGGAAAACACATTCTAGAGTATGAGCATCCACATATCCCTTCCTCATTTCCAGAACAGTTCAATTCCAAACTAAATTTGTCAGCCAACTAGACCTATATCTTCTTTCAAATACACTATATTATCCCAAGGAATCCTCATATTCACTCTACTTCAAAGCATGGTCCATTAAACCATACCGGCGGTTCAACCACAAAATACCAGTATCGGAGGCTAAACCGATAGGCGGTATTTAACGGTACTAACGGTTGAACTATGGTTAAACCACGGTTTTGCCATAAAATACCCTACAGCTTACTTTTCCGGTACGGTTTCATGGACCATGCTTCAAAGCCACGATATTAATGAACATAATGTATATGTCATTGTATTTATTCATGCTGCCTCTTTAACGAAGTATTATTATGTTGGTTGAAAAATATTTTATAGACGAGTAATGCTATTTTCTTATTAATTTTGTCATTGTATTGTTTATAATACTTTAAAGGTTTAGATATTGATATATATGCATTATTTTTAACTCGAGAGAATAAATATTAAGTCATTGTTATTTGTTTCCTATTGGGTTAATAGCATATTGAATCCTTCTACTATGGTAAATTAACAAACGTATCCCTCTACTAAATTTTTGCACAAACATACCCTTATATAGTATTAAAGCGTAACAATTTTACTCTTCCGTCTAAGGCTAAATTGCAAGTTTGGTCACCAGAATTACTAAAAAGTTTCACTAAAAAGTATGAGTGTTTAGGGGTAAATGAGGGGCAATTAGGTCATTTCATAGCTCATTTGACGGCCACTTAACAGAAAATTAGACGAAAGGGTAAGATTGTTACGCTTTAATACTAGAAGGGTATGTTTGTACAAAAATTTAGTAGAAAGGTACGTTTGTTAATTTACCATAATAGAGGGAAACAAAATGCTATTAACCCTTTCATGTTTATGCTATACATTTTCAGACAAACCTATTTTTATGTCAATTTTCTTTTCAATCGTAGATAATTAAATTATGTGACAGCTTCATTAATTGACAAGTTATAAATGGTTATAGAGGAATGTAATGACCATTAAGAATACAATCGTTGGTCAAAGTATCATAATTTCAAAATTTAAAAAAAATTAAATTCAATGTTATCTTAATTTCTTATGAAATTAACATTTTAAATAATTTGACAACTTTTAGAATACACATCATAAATACAATGTATCAAGGGCGGACACAAGTATAAAGGTGGTGTCTCAGGCAACACACCTCCACTCGAAAATTTTGCGAGAGACCCAATGTTTGTCGGTACAAAAAATTCAAATTCAAAACATCCGTAACACCTCCCATAATTCTAGCTGACACACTTTCATCATATATAAAAATAAAATTTATAAATATTTAAGTCTTTGAATGTTACTTTAATTTTTTTAGTAATTTGGCTTCTGCGTGCACTAAAAAATGAGTGTGTGCTATAGACCCAATTCTAAATGTAGATCTCAGACATCAAATTTTATATTTTAATTGATATTATTGGTCTAAGGCATTGATATCATATAGGATTACTACTATTCAATGCATTTCCCTAAGCCGCACACCTTAAAATTTGAACCCTAACTCTAAATCCTAAATATCTAAACTCTTCAAATCAAAGTAAATTTTGAATGATTTTTGTTTGTATTCGTGCATTTTCTTGTCCATCATAACACAAGTGAAAAACGACATTGTTTGGATATGAAATATCAATTATAAGGCAAGTTGCATAGCATGCCGCCAAAAAATGATGCACTGAAGGTAAATTAAATATAACTCTTTTAATTTTTATTTTATTTTTTGTTAAAAACTGCATTCCCTCATGTAGTCATGTCAAATACATTGGGCTTTAATTCCCTTCACTTATTGTTTTTGCAATTAAAGAAACCCCACAGGCGTTTTAATTAAAAAAAATTCCTCTATAAAAAAAAATTAAAAAAAAATTCCACTTTCAAATGTAAAAGGTTGGGTGACCATTTATTTCACATTCTCTTTTTTTTAATTATAAAACAAGTGACTATTTGTAAATGAATCGAGTCAAGTCGAGCCGAGCATTACCTCAGCTTGAGTTTGATTCATTAATAAACGAGTTGAGTTCGAGTTGTTTATCAACAAGTCGAGTCGAGTAGAGCGCGAGCTAGGCTTGTATACTAAAATCTTAGCTCATATTTGATACATTCATTTTGTATGTCATATATGGTACATGTGATTGATGCAATGATGAAAAAAATAATAGTCAAATGTTCAACATTAATTAATCTCATATTATACTTTGTTGGAGTCTCATTATTTAGTTAATAAATTTTAACTAGTTCAAATAATGTAATTTCATAATATTGAAAAATTCTTTGTCAAAAAAAAAAATATATTGAAAATTTTTATGGAACATAATTTCTTTATAAAGTAAATATAAGATATATTTTCTTACATGCTCAACATGTTAAACTTCACATGGGGTGAGATATATAATTTAACAATCCTATGAATTATGAAAATCCAACTCCTAAGACATAAATTGATTCGCTCATAAGTCGATGATCAAGGTTACCCACTAGCCACAATGTTGAGACATCCAATGAGCTCTAAACAAGTCAGCTCACGAGTTGAGCTAGCTCGCAAGCTGAACAAAACTTAGCTCTAGCTCGACTTGTTAGTAAACGAGTCGAGTTTTTCAAATGAGTTTTTTCCCAAGCCGAGCGTCGAGCCGCTCGCGAGCAGCTTGGCTCATTTGTAGCCTTAAACAAGCTCAACGAATTGGAACAAATCAAGACTCCCTTCTAATTTCAGAATCGGTTGAGTAATCAATTTATGAATAACTGTTTAGTTATGTACATAAATGATTTGGGTAAGTAATATCGGTTGACGATCGACCCGCAGATCAAGCCAAAGAAGTCCAAATAGTGTAAATTTCAGAACACACTACCGAAAAAGTGATTTTATGCAAAACTCGTCCTGCAACACGTTTTAGAGTGTCACATAAAATAGACATAGACAACACTTTCATTATGTGTTGTTTAATATATATCTTATGCAACACAATGGGCAGCACCAAATTTTTTGTTACATATTCCTAATAATAAGCTACAATTGATTCACATAATAAATTCTGTTGGCTATTCTTACATTTTAGACTACTACCAATTATACCAATTTGATAATTACTTTTACCTAATATTGTTAAGTATTAAGCATATGAAAACTAAAGTAACCAAAACTCTCAATTGAAGACGTAACCAAAAATACATTCAGTGCTTAATACTATTTTTATTGATGTGAACTTGATTTGTGAACCCAACAGTACTCCATTCAAGATCAAAGTGGAAGACAAGTCATGGAAAGAAGGATGGTAGAAATCTGTAAAAAATGACTAACTGTGGAAACTGTCTTGAGCTGGCCACTTTGAGCTCCTATTCGACAATCTTGAAGTCTCTCGAGTGCAACCAGGAGCTGGGAATGAAAGTGGGAGAGTTACTAAACAACATCAAGGTATTGGGTAGCTGGTTGGATGATTCTAAGGTGTGTCAAAGTGGCTATGGAGGCTGTTTCGGTTGCTTGGGCAGGAAGGCAGCTAGCTTACTTGCTCTAGAAGATTTTTGTGTTGAGCAAGTTTTCCTTCTTCAAGTTGGAGTCTGTTACGTATTGTTTATAGCTTACTTTCCTTGTTTAAAATGTAGTCGAATTAGGGGTAGAAGTTATTATATAAAGGCTTCAAGTTTGCGTTGTAAGATCATTGAAGTTCAATAAAGAACCCTAGTTCATAGAGTTTCATCTCTTGAATTTGCCCTTGATTGATTGGGATTGAATCCATCAACCAAGCGAGCTCATCATCAATTGAGTATCCCCTCAATTGTGGACGAGTTGCCAACCTAAAATCGTTCGAGACTCTTCCCGAATCTGGTGTGAAGTTATACGTTCGAGCCATCGTCCTCCGAACCTTCTCTCTTTTGCTTCGAGTGGGTTCAACCTAAGCGAATCTTGAAAGACTGTTCATCAAAAGCTCAAGGGTGAGATTATATCAAGTGGCATCACGAGCCTGGTTCCACACACTGACAATGACGAAGAAGTAGGATTTACCTGCTGCTGCAAGAACGCGAGCAAAGGATCCCATCGCAAAAAGAACATTAGAGGCAGAATCCTTGCCAAAGGAGGAAACCTCAATTGACGAAGTACCAATGGTCGAAGAGAAGATCAACTTCTCTGAACTCCTCCAGATAATCATGGCGCAGCTGAACGTCATGTTTCAGGCACAATTTGATTAGATTAATCGTCAATTGGCCGAACTAAAAACATCAGCGAGCAAACCTCTTACGATGGAAAGAGTTGCAGAGTACGTTCCAAACCCGGAAGGCAACCGAGTTCAGACTGTCCCAACTGGAGCCTTCCCAGAGTTAGATGACAAGATCCGCAATCTGGAACGAAGACGTGTCATCGCCGAAGGATATCCGTTACCTCTCAACCACGAATTTCCTAGCCATAACAATCGGCCATTGGAGGCAGAGCAAGAGGTTGTCGTGGCAGACCTCAAAGGAATCAAACTTTCGATTCCTTCGTTCTCCGGGTCCAACACTGTTTATGCCTACTTGGATTGGGAAAGAAAATTAGTTCTCTTCTTCCAATGTGGCAACTACACAGAGACACAGAAGGTCTTGCTTGTCACCTGCAAGTTTACGGACTACGCGGCGGTGTGGTGGGAGAAGGTGCAGCTTTGACGATGAAGAAACCTCCAACCCGCCATGATGACTTGGGACGAGTTGAAAAGTTTGATGAGGGACCGTTTCGTGCCCGAATATTACCAAAGGGAGCTCTTTGAGTCCCTATAAGGAATTCAACAGGTTTCGAGATCAGTTGACGAGTATTACAAAGAGCTCGAGATGCTCTTAATGAGAGCCGATGTCCGAGAAGGCAAAGAGGACACAACTTCGAGATTCTTGCACGGCTTGAATCGAGAAATTAGGTATGAGGTGGAGCTCAAACATTTTGGGGAGCTCCTAATTGGCCGACCATGGAAATTTGATAGATGAGTATGTCACTACGGGGGTACTAACTGAGTAACTGTTACAAGTTTAAACTCGACAACCATAGCTTTCTTTTGAAGCCCATGTCGCTGGCAGAGGCTTGAGCTGATCAACGATAGATGAAAATCAATCGGTTGCAGCGAAGAGGGGAGTCCAACATTACTAATTTGATGATACAAAGATATATGTTAACAACGTACAAAAGGAGAAGGAATGCAGACGAGCTCAGACAGTTTGGGGAAGCCTACCACAAGTATATTGAAGCATGCAACAAGTTCGTTAAAGCCTACCGCAAGTTTATGAAAGCCTACCACAAGTGAGAAGTGGAGAAAGAGATGAGCAAAAGGGAGGGGAAGGGGAATGCGAAGCCTACCACAAGTTCATCAAAGCCTACCATAGATTCATTAAAATCTACCGCAAGTTTATCAAAGCATACCACAAGTGGGAAGAGGGAGGGAAAAGGAATGGATAAGCATTCCATAAAAAGCACATGACAAGTTCGTTAAAACATACCACAAGTTTATCAAAGCCTACTACAAGTTTCTTAAAACATACCATACCATTGGACCTATTTGTAAATTTGAAAATCTTTAGGTATCAAAATGTAATAGAAAAATTTATAGGTACTGAAATGTTTTTTTATCAATATTTTTAGGACTTATATGTAAAAGAAATTAATTTTATGCACTAAATATAAAGACCCATTAAGTTTAGCGAACAAAACTGTAATTTTGTATGTGGAAGTCAATGAAAGCAATGTAGAAGAAGAGAAAAAGGGAGGGGGAAGGGAAAAGAGGAAGTGAAAGAGTACAATTACTAATATACTCTTACAGTTGCGCTCTATTTGCCAACAGGGGGTGCATATTGCAGGGGTGCAAGTTGAAGGGTAAATTGTTGGGGGTGCAAATTGATGGGGGTGTAAGTGAAGGGGTAAAATGTTGTTTGGATGAAAAAGTAGGGGGTGCAAATAGAGTGAAAAGTAAATAATTATATTATCATTGATTGAGCGATCTTAAAACTCGAAGATCAACTCGTAACTGGTCATTCTATATAGGGTTTTCGTGTCTAGTTTAATCTTAAATTGTCAAACTTAGTCAAACACGTTTAAATTTGTCAGTTTTAACTATTTAGTCAAATAAACTGAGTTAATCAAACAATTTCTCTCTTATCTTTTCGACAAACACTTCGTATCTCTAATTTTCAATGCAAATTCGAGTCAACCAAGAAATCTAGATTTGACTTGACGAACATTGATAAACTTATTTCCGGAGTCAAATGGTCAACCTCGAATATATAACACAATTAGAAAAACAAAATTTCATAATTTTCCCCTCCCCCTCCCCCTCTCTTCCTTCCTTTCCTTACACCCCAATTTGGGAGGTAAGACAAAACAGTAAATTTGCACTCCCGTTTTGCATCCCTCTATTGTTCCAAATTAACCAAACAGGTACAAATGTATTGGAAACTGTGTTTACCTCTCACATTTGCACCCCTCCTATTTACCCCTCTTTCCAAACAGAGTGTAAGTTTTAGCACCTTATTCGCTCGTTAACCAAACTTGCAATTTACCCATAAATATTATAATATTTGTTCTATTAGAAAAACAATTTATAAAGAATATTTAATGTCCGGCAAGATTCAAAACACATTGCAGAGGAAACCAATGACTATAAGCCAAGTCGTCAATTGTGACTATCATCACCACGTCGCGAGGAAAGTGTACACTTTTTTATGTTTTTTGAATGGCGAAAAAGTTGATGGTGGTGTGTGAAGTAACGAAAGTAGAGACTATATGGTGGATAGGATGGGAAGTTTGGTACTGGTATTTGGGATATACAGAATATCGTATTGAATTTATTAATATTTGGTATTATTGAATATCGATTTAATTTTTAAGAGATTGGAATTGAGATTTATTTTATAGTGTTATTCGGTGTTCGAGATTACGAGATTGTGATCTATATATACCGAAATATCGAGAAACAACGAAACTTGTAAATTAATGAAATATAACATACAACCTTTGCTAATTCCTCACTCTTTCACCACTTATAAGCCCCCATCCAACCTAATTTCGGCTTTTTAGTTTAAGTCACTCTCGTCTCTTACGTAATCTCTTGTTATTTTTATAACACAAAAAAAAACACTAATATTGGTCGTCTCTCAGCATCCAATCCGTCGAATTAAAGATTATCCATGCCAAGAATTTGAGATGTCACCTTTTCTCCCTTCTCCTTATCCATGTCCTAGCTCTAGGGAAACTCAATACCCTTTGCCTAGTATCTTTGCCCTAAATTAGACAACAAAATCTAATTCATGTATTTAATTTTTAATTACAAAGGTAATTGATTTCGTATTCAATACTACCGATTGAGATACCGAAATATTTAGAGTTTGAGATTGGGATACACAAATTATTTAGGGATTGAGATTGTGATTGTGATTGGTTTAAGTTATAATTTGGTATTCAGCATTTTGGTTTTGGTATCAAAATACCGATATCGTACCGATTTTCACCCCTAATGATGGGTGGTTCAGGTTAGTCATTTTAATCATTCCATTTATATATTTTGGCTTTGAAAGTAATAAAAGATGGAAGTTGTTGTTTGGACTTTGATGAAGTGCATCTTGCTTCAACGTATACCTATAATTTTCCATAAACATTTACTAAATAAGCCAAAGATGCTATTCATAATAAATTAAAACATCCATAATATGATAATCTAATTATTTGTCCCCACACACAAAAAAAAAAAAAACAACATGGACCATACCTATATTGAATTCGTCTACTATGACCTAAATTCTCTCGTAAACATGTTGTATATGAGATAAATACCTTTTTGATACGAACATTCAGAACAATAGTTGTGATGGTTGAATCGAGTATTTACAAATTGCATAATCCAACTTCGTATCCAATCTAAGAAAAATGGATTACACAAAAAAAAACCCAATCTTAAACTTTAATTTTGGTTGAATTCCACGATTGGTCACTCAAATTATACAAATCTTTCATATTTGTCACTCGAATTACTTTTCTTTCTTATTCACTGCTAACTTTACGAACCAATTCACCATTACGAATCTTTCATTATTATTTTTGCTCAAATATGCAAATAAATTGAAGTAAAAGTAAGGTCTGCAAGTATTTTGACTGCCTGATCGACTGCGGTTTTACGTTCTCGATTTAGCAGGGGGAGAATTTTACGCACCATCGCTGGAGATTAATCAGACGAGAATTTGCGGTTTTCTTCTTTGGATGGCTGTAGCTGTGGGGGAGAGCAAATGGAGAGATAGACTGAGAAGTAGCCGCGGAGGTGTTACAACATAGAAGGAAAGAAGAGGAAGGAGGTCATTATTATTTTTTGAAAAAATTTAAAATTTATATGTCATTAAATTAACGATTCAGTTAGCAATTTTATTTGCCACGTGATAAAAAAAAATTAACAGAGTTAACAGAATCTGATGGATACTGACGTTCTGTAGCTAACGGTGAAATGATTCGTAAAGTTAATGACGAATAAAAAAAGTAATTTGAGCGACAAATTTGAAAAATTTGTATAATTTAAGTGAGTTAAGTCTTTTAATTTTAGTGACAAATACAAATTAGTTAGATCGAAGATGTAGGTGGCAAAACCATTTTTTTTTTTTTTTTTGTTTTCTCCCAAACGAGAGGGGGAAATGGATTTTTCTTTCATTATTTTCAACCGCGTTGTTACAACGAAGCAAAGAGACGGGGAGAAATGCCAAATTGACCTTTTTACCCGCACAAATGCATCGCGCGCGGCCCCAAACGGAGAGTGCGCATAGAACCTTACGCTACACGCCAAACCACTCTATCATTGTCTCCCCTTGGAAACATCCATTAAGCTACGCTCCAAAGCCAACCACACCGTCTTCCCTTTCCAGCCTTTAGCCAACCCCCAGGACAGAGGCAAACGTCCAACGAAGCAGCAGCAGCAGCAGCCAAATTGAAACCTCAACAACGTTCTCTTCGCCTTCTTCCTCCCATCTTCTTCTTTCCTTTCCATCAAATTCATTCATGACAATGGCTGCTGCCATCTAGTCCTTTTCCTTCACTGACAGACCAAATCTCAACAACGCTAGCTCTCTTCGTTCTTCCCCATCCCATTTATTTCATCGTCTCTCTCTCGTGTCTCGTCCTTCTTTCTGACATGAAGCCTCTGCTGCGGCTGCTGCCGCCCCGTTCCCGGCCTCTCTTGTTCCTTTTGGCGACGGCGATGGCGGTGGTGATGGTAGATTCAGATCTGGCATCCGATAGGGCTGCGCTTGTGGGCCTCCGCAGCGCTGTCGGCGGCAGATCTCTCTTGTGGAACTTGTCCGACACTCCCTGCAATTGGGCCGGTGTTACTTGCGCCGGGAACAGAGTTGTCGAGCTCCACTTCCCCGGGATGGGTCTCTCCGGCGAGCTCCCTGTAGGGCTCGGCAACCTCACCCAGCTTAATACTCTTTCCGTCCGTTTCAACGCGCTCAGAGGGGGGGTTCCGGCCGACATCGCAAGTCTCGGGTTGCTCAGGAATCTCTATTTACAAGGGAACTTCTTCACCGGTGAGATTCCGGCTTTCCTGTTCGGTCTGCAGAACTTGGTGAGGCTCAATTTGGCGAATAATAACTTCTCCGGCACAATCTCGCCGGAATTGAACAAGTTGACCCGGTTGGGCACGCTGTATTTGGAGGGCAACCAGCTCACGGGTCCAATCCCCAACCTCAATGCTTCCCCGCTCGATCAGTTCAACGTCTCTTTCAACAATTTGGCCGGGCCAATCCCTCCGGCTCTCGCCGGGAAACCGGCCACAGCTTTCGAAGGCAACTCCCTACTCTGTGGGAAACCTTTGGCTGACTGCAATGGTAGTTCCGGAAATGGAACTTCGAGCGGAGGCAGTTTGTCTGGCGGCGCAGTGGCCGGCATCGTAATCGGGTGCGTGATTGGGTTTCTGTTGCTTTTGATGATTTTGCTCTTCTTGTGCCGGAGAAGGAAACCTTCGAAAGAGGTTGCCAACAAGGACATTGAGGAGCCGAACCAGAGCGAGATGCAGAACCCTTCAGCGGTGGGCGAGGGAGCCAAGTCGAGCTCAGCGCACTCCGTCGCAGCGGCCACGGGAGCCAAGGTGGACGCCAAGGGTCTAGCCAGTAAGAGTCTGGTGTTCTTCGGGAACACTCCAAGGAATTTCAATCTAGAAGACTTGCTGAGAGCTTCTGCTGAAGTACTGGGGAAGGGAACTTTTGGGACGACATACAAGGCTACCTTGGAGATGGGTGTAGTGATGGCGGTGAAGAGGTTGAAGGATGTGATCGTGAGTGAGAAGGAGTACAGAGAGAAGATCGAAGGAGTTGGCAAGATGAATCATGAGAATTTGGTTCCATTGAAAGCCTATTATTTCAGCAGAGATGAAAAGCTTCTGGTTTATGAGTACATGTCCGTGGGAAGCTTGTCTGCACTTTTACATGGTCAGCATTTTCTTTCCTTCCTCCCCCAGTTGATACGATCCATCATTCTTCCTTTCCTTCTGTGTTTTTTGTTGTTGTTGTTGTAAAGGCTGAATCTTGCTTGGTTTAAATCAACGGAAATCAGTGCATATGTGCTTAAGCCTTATTCATTGCAATTGCGGCAGCTGGGTTCCCCATGTGGGGTTTCCATTGACGTTCTAGATCTGTCATTTTAACTCCTACATAACTTTGATTAGATTT